AGACAGCAATCAACAATGGCCGTCATTGTAACATACACTGTACAACACGCACGTGTAGACAGCCATCAACAATGACCTTCATTGTATCATACACTGTACACCGCGCACGTGTAGACAGCCATCAACAAGGGCCTTCATTGTAACATACACTGTACACCGCGCACGTGTAGACAGCCATCAACAAGGGCCTTCATTGTAACATACACTGTACATCGTGCACGTGTAGACAGCCATCAACAATGGCTTTCATTGTAACATACACTGTACAACGCGCACGTGTGGACAGCCATCGACAATGGCCTCCATTGTAACAAACATTGTAGAACGCGCACGCGTAGACAACAATGAACAATGGCCTTCATTGTAACATACACTGTACAACGTGCACGTGTAGACAGCAATCAACAATGGCCGTCATTGTAACATACACTGTACAACGCGCACGTGTAGACAGCCATCAACAATGGCCTTCATTGTAACAAACACTGTACAACGTGCACGTGTAGACAGCCATCAACAATGGCCTTCATTGTAACATACACTGTAAAACGTGCACGTGTAGACAGCCATCAACAATGGCCTTCATTGTAACATACACTGTACAACGTGCACGTGTAGACAGCCATCAACAATGGCCTTCATTGTAACATACACTGTACAACGTGCACGTGTAGACAGCCATCAACAATGGCCTTCATTGTAACATACACTGTACAACGTGCACGTGTAGACAGCCATCAACAATGGCCTTCATTGTAACATACACTGTACAACGTGCACGTGTAGACAGCCATCAACAATGGCCTTCATTGTAACATACACTGTACAACGTGCACGTGTAGACAGCCATCAACAATGGCCTTCATTGTAACATACACTGTACAACGTGCACGTGTAGACAGCCATCAACAATGGCCTTCATTGTAACATACACTGTACAACGTGCACGTGTAGACAGCCATCAACAATGGCCTTCATTGTAACATACACTGTACAACGTGCACGTGTAGACAGCCATCAACAATGGCCTTCATTGTAACATACACTGTACAACGTGCACGTGTAGACAGCCATCAACAATGGCCTTCATTGTAACATACACTGTACAACGTGCACGTGTAGACAGCCATCAACAATGGCCTTCATTGTAACATACACTGTACAACGTGCACGTGTAGACAGCCATCAACAATGGCCTTCATTGTAACATACACTGTACAACGTGCACGTGTAGACAGCCATCAACAATGGCCTTCATTGTAACATACACTGTACAACGTGCACGTGTAGACAGCCATCAACAATGGCCTTCATTGTAACATACACTGTACAACGTGCACGTGTAGACAGCCATCAACAATGGCCTTCATTGTAACATACACTGTACAACGTGCACGTGTAGACAGCCATCAACAATGGCCTTCATTGTAACATACACTGTACAACGTGCACGTGTAGACAGCCATGAACAATGGCCTTCATTGTAACATACACTGTACAACGCGCACGTGTGGACAGCCATCAACAATGGCCTCCATTGTAACAAACATTGTAGAACGCGCACGCGTAGACAGCAATGAACAATGGCCTTCATTGTAACATACACTGTACAACGCGCACGTGTAGACAGCCATCAACAATAGCCTTCATTGTAACATACACTGTACAACGTGCACGTGTAGACAGTATTGAACAATGGCTTCATTGTAACAAACACTGTACAACGCGCACGTGTAGACAGCCATCAACAATGGCCTTCATTGTAACATGCACTGTACAACGCGCACGGGTAGACAGCAATCAACAATGGCCATTGTAACAAACACTGTACAACGCGCCCGTGTAGACAGCCATCAACAATAGCCTTCATTTTAACATACACTGTACAACGTGCACGCGTAGACAGCCATCAACAATGGACTTCATTGTAACATACACTGTACAACGCGCACGTGTAGACAGACATCAACAATAGCCTTCATCGTAACATACACTGTACAACGTGCACGGGTAGACAGTATTGAACAATGGCCTTCATTGTAACATACACTATACAACGCGCACGTTTAGACAGCAATGAGCAATGGCCTTCATTGTAACATACACTGTACAACGCGCACGTGTAGACAGCAATGATAAATGGTTCATTGTAACATACACTGTGGTTTGATTTTGATTAACGTCCTATTAACAACTAAGGTCATTTAAGGACGTGCCTCCATGCGTGAAGTGTATGCGTGCTTGTGTGTGTGTATGCAGGAGGCTTGTTATGTTGGTGTAATTGCCTCCTTGTGATAGCGCGGATCTGATGCCGTCTTTAGAGTGCTATCTCACTGAAAACATGCCGAAGGTACCCAGCACAGCATTCCGCCCGGTCACATTATACTGACAACGGGTGAACCAGTGGTTACCATTCTCCTAAATTCTGAACGTTAAGCAGGGAATAACAACTACCATGTTTAAGGACGTTTGTATGTCCCGGCCTGGGTACAGAACCCATTGCCTTCCTCACCTGGGCGAACGCTCAACATAAAGGCCAAAAGTGAGGTGTTGCCAAGCAAGGCGCTAGGAAGTAATAAGTAAAAAGAAAGACAAGATCTCAAATATTGCAGATCTATTTTGGTCGCTTTTTTGTCCCCAAATAGAGGACACCAAAGCAAATCTCTAATTCTGCAGGGGGTTCCCTCATTAGTCGCCTCATACGATATTCTTTCCCCGATACCCCATCTGCGGGGTTGACGCGCACGTGTAGGTAGCCATCATCGATAGCCTCCCTCGTAACAAACACTGTGCAAAAATGGTCTTTTTCGTAACATACATTGCATAACGCGCACGTGTAGGCTGTTATTCTTAACATAGTCCAGTGCGGCACCTTAAAAAAAATACTCCTATCCTGTTTGATTGTAATTGACATTTTCTTTAGTCGGTAAAGATGTCTCAATTTATTCATTTGAAAACATGGCCACCATCTTAATTTTCTAATGCATCAGAAAAAATCAACAACACATTTTCAGAGTCAGAAAAGTGCAATACACGATATTTGGTCTTAACCTAAAGTGCCGTTCTTGAGAATATGTTTTTAATTTCTAAAAAATGCAAGGACCTTAATCGTAGCTACATGTAATAACGTTTTTCCCAGCCAACTATACATGTCAATAAAAGTATTTAACGCGTTAAGTTACCTACCTTGACCAGAAGAACTGACCAACTCATTGAGGTACCATTGTGAGATTGTGAATGAAAGGTTTAGCTGACTAGCAGTATCAGTGATTATGACGGAACACTTGTTATATTAATAAAGGGCTCTGTTACAGGTATCATACTCAACTCGCAACGCATTTTGGGCGGAAATCCAGAGCTTTTTTCGCGTATCTGGTTCAAACAGTTTGTCTGTTTTTAAATGTAACACTTTCGGGTAGATGCAGGCCTTGCAAGGCTTCGTCAAGTTTTGCCTGAAAGCAGCATCAGATTACTAGGTCCGACCTTATTTCATAAACAACAACTCTAGTCCAACCGGTTCAACCGTTTGGATTGCGATAAATGAATGCGGCCCTGGATCTTGCGGCTGAAGATCTAAATATAAAAATAAACACCAAAAACATCTAAGTTTGCAAATAATTCATAAAGTTGGTCGACGTACGTAGGTGCTGACATGAGATCTACCATAAAAAAGTACAGACGATTTATCAGCAATGGTATAAAACTTTAAACGTATCTCTATCAGGCAAACAGTCTTTACCAGTCCTTGACCGACATGGCTCGTTGGCGCCTTTCTCAGGCAGGTAAAAATGCATACGAGTATTGTTAACAGATGAACAGATAAGTACGCGACATGCATTTTTAAAACCATGCGTGTCACAAACATAGAAAGGTAGAGATCGATACGCTAAAGGATCAATGGAGGCTAACATTTCCTCCGGGTTTCACTTTTTTTAATTTCTGTAAATATTTAAGACCACAGTAGTCAACAGGAACCTTTTACTGAAAACATTAATATTTACGCAGGCATGCGATGACAATTCAATAACAGTTTTTTTTATTATTGATATAACATTGCCTTGAGACTTGAAGCGGGCGTGCCTATAGGTTGATACGACATTGCCCAGGGACTGCATTTGGTTTGTGTCTAAAAGCTGATTTGATAAAGCATTGAGAAAGGAAATTGAACTGTCTTATAGTTTAAATGATAGTGTCGTGACAGTGAAGTGGTCTTGCTTTTATCGTTGATATGATAGTGTCGTGAGACCTGAAGTGGTTTGTGTCTAAAAGGTGATTTGATAAAGCATTGAGAAAGGAAATTGAACTGTCTCATAGTTTAAAAGATAGTGTCGTGACAGTGAAGTGGTGTTGCTTTTATCTTTGATATGATAGTGTCATGAGACCGGAAGTGGTCTTTTCTTATCATTGATATGATATTGTCGTGAGACCGGAAGTGGTTTGCGTCTAAAAGTTGATTTGATAAAGCATTGAGAAAGGAAATTGAACTGTCTCATAGTTTAAATGATAGTGTCGTGACAGTGAAGTGGTCTTGCTTTTATCTTTGATATGATAGTGTCATGAGACCGGAAGTGGTCTATTCTTATCGTTGATATGATAGTGTCGTGAGACCGGAAGTGGTCTTGTCTTATCGTTGATATGATAGTGTCGTGAGACCGGAAGTGGTCTTGTTTTATTGTTGCTATGATAGTGTCGTGAGACCGGAAGTAGACGTGCCTTATAACTGATGTGACTGTGTCTTGAATCAGGAAATTGGCATGTTATATTTGATATGATAGTGCAGTTAGAAAATGGGTGTGATTTATAGTTTAGAAAACAAGTGCACTGCGACAGGAAGTGGGATTGTCTACTGCTGGCTGTAGGTTACTTATCAGTACAGTTTAGTTTAAATCAGATCAATAGATCGAGATAAAAAATAGCAACATTCTCTTCTCAATACATGTAGCTTTGAATTATAATAATAGCAATTGTATAAACAAAGGGAAATGTTCAAATATACTTACAATGATATTAATGAGCGAGCCGGAACAGTGACAGTCAAATGCAGTTCAAATATTCATAGTACAGCAAAAACGCAAACTGGAAAAAATCAATCCACTGCGTTTATAAAATAAATCAAATAATTAACTCTCCAAAAAAATCGACTAGATGTACGCATTAAACGTATGTTTTAAGTTGCTAAATTGTGAAAACCATATCCATATTTCACGGAGACCACTTCACAACTGTGTGTATTTATGTACATAAGAAGTAAGCTGTATGATATGGATACTTTGGGACAGCTTGCACGCATGTAACGATTTATTCTTTGATAAAACAACACACCATTCAAATGCCTCACGGAATTAGATCTGTGTAAGTCCGTAGACGATCTAAAAAATCTATCTTTTTATAGAACTTAATGTTATACGTTACATGGAAGGTACGAAGAGACACAGAAGGTGAAATGTTGTTTGATATTTTATACGTTTCTCTCTAAATCTCTTATTATTTGATGTTGTTATATTACAAAAGATGCCTACTTCTTTACTGAAGTTATTATTACGGAAACATCTGGTCTAAACGTCATAGTACTGACCGTGTCGTATAATTATCACACGCTACAAAACAAGATTTATAGAGACTTACTAGACTTGTTAGAGGTTTTCGTGCTGAAGACTTGTGAGGTTAATGTGCTGAAGACTTGTGAGATTATTGTGGTGAAGACTTGTGAGGTTCTCGTGCTGAAGACTTGTCAGGTTATTGTGCTGAATACTTGTGAGGTTTTCCTGCTGAAGACTTGTGAGGGTTTCGTGCTGATGACTTGTGAGGTTATGGTGCTGAAGTCTTGTGAGATTATTGTGGTGAAGACTTGTGAGGCTTTCGTGCTGAAGACATGTGAGGTTATTGTGCTGAATACTTGTGAGGTTTTCGAGCTGAAGACTTGTGAGGTAATTGTGCTGAAGACTTTTGAGGTTATTGTGCTGAAGACGTGTGAGGGTATTGTGCTGACGACTTGTGTGGTTTTCGTGCTGAAGACTTGTGAGGTTATTGTGCTGAAGACTTGTGTGGTTTTTGTGCTGATGGTTTGTGAGCGTTTGATGGTTCGCTATACACTATTTCCTCAGACAGACAGAAACCACTCTACATTTCTACACTTACTCGGATACCAAGGGCGCGTTTTCATGAAACCGTTCCCATGCTTAAGCATGGATTTTGTGCTGAAGCTTAATTTCTTGTTTCGGTTATAAATTAACAAACAACATTATTTTGTCAATTAAACCCAAATACTGTTTCATTGTTTACAATTTACTTGTGATCGTTCGACATGGTTTAAGTGAGTTTCAAGAAAGGTGGAACAAGAAGTCATGCTTGAACACGAGAACGCTTTCATGAATACGGGCCCTAGTAGCCTATTGAGTATCCAAACCTCCACAATTCAAGCTCCGTCTTACAGTTTGAAAACATAAGCAGATACTTTATGGAGGTACTCTGGATTCGAGTGTAGCAATATATATGTTTACTATAATTGTGCTGAGGAATAAATTAAATGATATTTGCAATAATAAATTTGACTGATTAACATTTCATAAAGAGATGTGTTTCATGAAGAAGAAGAAAACAACAACATATATATGCGAAGTAAAATCTAGCGTAGGGACTATTTTTATGACGTCGGATGGTAAAGTCGTTATTTGATTTTCAAGTTATCCCCCAGCAATACATTAGTGGGATGATATGATAAGGTGCCGTTAAGTAAATTTGTAATGAATGAACCAATTAACATTATTTGCGGACACGCTCTGTATATGGTTCTTATTTTATTTACCGATATCTGATTGAACTATAATGCAAAGTATTGTAAGCCAGAACAATACAATTTGATTTATAGACGATTTTTCTATGCGAGTTCTGTCAGATTCAACTATATTCTGGCTAACGGTCCGGTAGAAACTACAACCATCATGATAAACAATATCCATTCTAATCTTATCACATGATTCTTTACCATGATACATTCTGCAGATAAAGGTAGTGCGACACAAAATAATTTGCATGTGTCTTAATAACTCTCGAATTAAATTTACAAAAGTCATCATTAGGAAAAAAGCCAAATTCTAGGAAAGTAAGAAATTAAATAAACTGTCTTTTTAATTTTGAAGGATATAGCAGCATTGATTATATAGTGAATTAATTTTGGAACGTTTCCCGGGTCAGGAGGTAGCATTAAACTCGGGTAAAACAGTCTTTACCGGGTCAGGAGGTAGTATTAGCCCCGGGTATAACGGTCTAGACTTGCAGACACTCTGCCACAGAAGGAACATCAAGTGGCTTTTATTTCGGAAGGTCAAAGAAAGTCGTGTACCATTGTTTACAATGGAGGCGGTATAACAGTCTCAGAACGCACACATCAAGCGACGCAGCTTCCGGTTTCGCCAGAAGCGTCCATGGAAACTGTAGCGCTATGACGTAGTTGATCTCCCGACGGACGGGAACATGAACACATATAAACCGACATACAGCACAAACCTACAATAAACTCCACAACCAATGGACAGATGGAGATAGTGTTTTGATAAATGTTTATTAGTGGATTTTTCTGAAGCTAGAGGGGATGTTTACATTATGAAATGTATGTTCTCCAAACTCAGGGCCTAGTTTGACGCCGACATGCACTCTGTGACATGCCGTACTAGTGTAAAGGTACGAACACAGTGTACTTACCTAGCCTAGCCTCAGAGTACCAATCCTGAACCAAAGTACGACATCTGACTTAAAACCGACCCCTGAACCAGATTTCGACCTCTTATTCAGCATACGTCCATTAACCCAGAGTATGACATCCGACCCAGAACGTACAACCCCTAATTCAGAGTACAAACTATGACCCCTTACTCGGTTATTAGTGTACAATTTACATGCAATACCATTAACCCAGCGTACAGCCATAACCCAGAGTGCGACCTCTGACCCCGACTTAACGTATGGCCTTTCTTATTCAACCTCTGATGGTGCTTACGATCCTTGACTTAATGTATGTCAGTCAGTGACGACATAGATCCTATACAAATTGTACACGTACCATGATAGAACGTCGTCCATAGGTTGTTAGTTACATGTAAGCCTAGTTGCTCAAACTCAGTAAAGTCATATTTGGCTTGAAAACAATGATAAGGCACACTGCGCCCTCAAGGTTAAAAGCTGCATACATGATTAAACAGCAAAATGGACAGATGATATTATAACAAGTATTTTTTATTCCAATGTTATAGACCTGTTTTACGTAGATATTCGAAAATCTTCAACAAATTAAGTGCATGGATCCATCTTTTAATATCAGGCACATCATGACGCTACCTCACTGAAATATCATGCTGAACACATGATGCTACCTCACTGAAATATCATACTGAACACATGATGCTACCTCACTGAAATATCATGCTGAACACACGATGCTACCTCAGTGAAATATCATGCTGAACACATGATGCTTAAGCATCGTGAGGTAGCATCGTGTGTTCAGCATGATATTTCTGAACAAATAATGATGTCAACAGGTGACGTTTGAAGAACGAATAACGATCTGATCCGCTTATTTTCTACATCNTGCTAATATTGTATTGAATATGGCAATTTATCATATTCATTAATTAAACACATAAACACCCTGACACTTTAACTATAAAATATACATGCTCCAAGTCAGGAACCGTTACATTAGTGCATTTCACAATTATTTTATGTTTTTTAGCAAAAACAAAGGTCCAGAAGAATCTCCGTCTCGCTCGGCGACAGATTGCAGTCTACGCCCCCTCCATCAAATATCCTAGAAACGCCCCTGCCATCACTTACGACAAACTTGACAGCTGTTATTTCTTCTGTTAAAACAGATGTAACATCGGGAAGCCGACAGGATGACGTTCGGTCAGCAACAATGAATAGATATCTATGTTCATGGATTATTTTTATTTCTCCTTTATAGTGACACTTAGGGATCGAGTTGTTTAGAACTATAGGGTACGGTTTTGTTTTCTATGAGAGAAAGATCTAGATCCGAGTTCCCAATAGATTTCAAAATAAGTCATGATGTCAGTTTTTCGTTTCTTTAAATAGATTAGCACAATTCGTATAAAGCAATACTGGCAAGCAGGGTTATCAGAGTGTGCTTCAAGCTGAAGGGCGAATTGTAATGACAATTTGCCCCTGCGATCTGCAAGCGAGGGTTCATTTGCTTCAGCACACAGACTTATAATAGGTGTTATGCGAAAGCCACCAATGATTCGTCTATATAAAATGGTTTGGTGGAATCATAGTAAACACCATAAAAAACGCAGTTTCATTTCTGTAAAACTACCAATAATAAAAGCGATAAATGTCTTTGAAAGCAATTATAAAAACCAATGAAAATCTAAAAAATTAAAAACACAGAAAAGACTGCAGTACATTAACGTTATGTCACACCGGCCGTAACTGTTTCCGATAACCAGAACGATCTCGGTAAAATTCGGTTACGTTTATTTCTGTTGGTTACAGATAAAGAGTGTAAAATAGATAAATAGTAATGACAGGCGGCATGGGTTAATTGAGCATGCTGGATGTCGCCAGTTGTCACTCAGTCGTGAAATGGCGGTTTGTCAGGTAACATCCACTATAGCTATACCTTTGCATTGGCTCCGTGACGTAAACATTGCTAGTGGATAAATTGTACGTAACAATTTATCAGTCGTTTTAAGTCACATTCGTTTTTGTTTTAAAATCTAATCTAGAGCGCGTCTCTCTCATATCTAATATCACGCCAGAAATCACAGTCTCGCGATAATACATAAAACAACATGTTTTTTGTCATTCCGAACGGCTATAGTAACTTCTTTGAAAAGTAAAAAAGATGAATGTAAAAAACACTGCGTTTGTTTGTAAAAGTACACGTCAGCGTCAGAATAATAGGTTTTGAAACCTGAGATTATACATGGATATAAACTGTAAAACTCGCAAAAATATATACTCAGCAAGCCGGTTCATGATTCATGACTAAGATATGTTGTCTTTGAAATTAGATAGAACGTAGGCTGATTGTAAAAAGTTTTGAAATATATATATATAACTAGATTTTCATCAGACATTTTTTTAGATCTAATGACGATTACATAGTTTATATTCGCCCTATGGAATAGCGTAGCCTTTCCGAATCAATTACAGCGCCGGTGACTAAAGTTGATAAGCATTTTATATGTACATATTGTTGTAGATGGTTAAATTATTAAAGATGTGTACATGTGCATGATCTTCCCCGCCAGGACGTCAGCACTCACAGCTGTCGCGTTTCCCAATTTGATGACCACTTGGGTATAGGAGCTTGGAATCAATCCATTGGAAATCGCGACTTTGGTATACAGCGAAGTGTGCTCAGAAGTGTCGCAGTAACGTTAGTGCTCGCACTTTAGCTGTTTCTTCCCTTCAATAATTCATATATACGCAAACAGACTTCGATTTTCGAAACATCTAAACTAGATACTTAATCAACTTACGTTTTCGTCAATGAAAAAACTTTTAAGCATTTTAAATGGGTAAAATAAAGTGAATATGTTATTTTAATAGAACTATAAATCACAACACTTACAATGGTACGTAAATGTACTGTTACACTTCTAAAGATACACATGGTATAATGAGTTCGTAAGGATGTAGCATATACATACACATCTATAGCGTCTGTGTCGTCAGTTTGTTCTTGGAACAGCCTAACGTCACAGAAATGTTTGCTTCTTACGATCGCCTCATAAGGAGAAGTGTCACAAATTACGATTATTCAATTGCGTTCATAGGCCTGTGAACGTTTCTTGTTTATATGGTTTCTTCTTGCGGAAGTGAATGTCTACATCACTGAATAGGACACAGAATGTTACGTCATATTTAAAGAATGTCGGGTGTGACTGCAGTATATATTATTGAAGTGTTAAGGGTGCATTTTGTGGCATATCAAACTTTGTTAAAACACCAAGCCTTTTCTACCAGCCACATCAAGTTCAAGTTCGTCAAACCTCGCTTAGCCACAACAAAACTTATCACCAGAAACATCAAACTTAGTCAATAGTAAATTACCCTAACAATCAGATGTCATGCTTTCGTGTTTCTTAATCAAAACATATATATTTGATGAGAAAAGCGTCGATGTGTTGAGGACTACAAACACTGCCAGCGTGAACAACAACGCTGGGTCTGTACACCCGGGATCACCCTGTCAGACATACAATGGCCGTCTCTCAATAAACCTAGTCTAGTTGTAACATATTTCTCATAAATGACAACGATAAACAATAAGCGCGGTTAACGCCATGGTTAATATGTCTCGTGGCAGGTATTAACCGAACCCACTGCACAGTGACATGGACGGGGCAATCTGCGAGTTATTTATCGCTTTATCGCGATGGAGCAAGAACGGGAGTGATAAATTGTCTTCAGTCATTAAACAGCGAAACGGTAGCAACGGGATAGACGTTAAACGAGTTGATTGGATGAATCTCTCATTTCAACTATTACTGTTCCGTTTAAAGTTTGTGAATGGTTGTCATTACAGCCACTGTGGAAAATGTGCATTTTGTACTTCCACTGTGTGTACAGACATCCACTACCGATATACGGACGTCCATTTCCTCATACGGACGTACACGGTAATACGGACGTCCATTTCCTCATACGGACGTCCATTTCCTCATACGGACGTCCAATTCCTCATGCGGACTCACAACGCTTATAAAATTAAGTACGTAACGACTTCTATACCAGATTATACTGGCCAACTCCTAAAAAGGGTACATGCATTGAATTCACCGATAAAGTTTCCCATGCTATTTATTAGTGAATGGTTGACGAAAATATGGTTGACATTTTATAACTATTTTATTTTCGGGCGTTATTGTAGGTAGGTTTGTATAAATGTACCGAAACTATCCGATGTAAAATTCCTCTTACTTACCAGATAAGTAGTAAGGTATCCCGTCGGTATAACACTGCTAGGATCTGGGCTAACGACACAACCCTAAAATCCGTCCGGATATTTCTCACACTGTCCGTAACTCCGATACAAGTCCGACTTTGACGTTAGTGTGGACACTGCACGTGTAGGTGAGGATAGCACAGGCGAGTGTGACGACAAATTGTTGATTGCGCCACTATTACGACCCTACACACTTCCAGCCTCTCCGCCACGTTTGATCGATAAGTAATATAAGTGGGGATTGACAGAGGCTGCAATTGCCGTGACCATCCAAGTGTAACATGTACTATGTTCCCTTTCAGCCTCAGCAACTATCTGAGCGTCAAACTCTGAAACGCTAATCCACCAATCAGCGGTCTGTGTCTATCCGAGAGGGGAATGTACTCACCCAACACCACTTGCTAATTCATAAGTATGAACTCTTTTCGGAAAGTGGTTCATAGTTGTATAAATCTGTTTTTAATCACGTGTATATTGTGCGTTTGTATAGCAGTTATTTTGATTAATCATAACCGATTAAAGCGTACGATGTAAAGCAGGTGTCTGGGCTTCGTTCATTGTCCAGTAAACGTCTGTATTCTACTTGGTTTTAAGAACATGCACCAAAACACGACAGTTCACAGTGTGCGGCACACCTCACGAACCTACACTAGTAACTAGATTATCATCCTATATTACTTTAGAGCTCCAGAACACTACATATCGAACCAGTAGGAAAGACAAAATGACCGACTACAGTAGTTAAGGGAGTAATTAGATTGACACAGTGTTGTATGTTACTCGCCAACATCAGCTTACACAATCTCAAACTGATGCAACTACAAACCTATGCATTATACTATCACATAGTCTGGCACCAAACTGACGGATTACAGTACAGTATCTGGACAAACCTGGACCAGACTGGTGATAACATTCTGCATACAACAGTCGATAGTCATTACATACAGTATCTAAAAGTTTCCTTTAAACCTAATGTGAGATTTCTGTACGTTATGATGTAGTCAAAGCAGCTTTGGAGACCAACTTTATTAAAGATACCATGTGTTAAAATATCATTTTAAAAACTTGCACTTGCAGCTGTTTTCGTGTAATTGACTGAATCATCACACGTAAAAATGTACTGCTAACCGACTTTTGAAGTAATTATAAAACAGCTGAATATCTGAGCGTGTTTTAGTTTCATGACGATGTATGACGTCATTTTAATTATATGAATGTGACGTATATTACCTGTGTGTGACGTACATTACCTGTTTGAGACATAATAACCTGTGTGTGACGTACATAACCTGTGTGTGACGTACATAACCCGTGTGTGACGTACATAACCTGTGTGTGACGTACATAACCTGTGTGTGACGTACATAACCTGTGTGTGACATACATTATCTTATGTGACGTACTTTACCTATGTGTGACGTACATAACCTGTGTGTGACGTACATTACCTGTGTGTGAGGTACATAACCTGTATGTGACGTACATATCCTGTATGTAACGTACATTACCTGTATGTGTCGTACATTACCTGTATGTGACGTACATTACCTGTGTGTGACGTACATTACCTTATGTGACGTACATTACCTGTTTGTGGTGCACATTACCTGTGTGTGACGTACATTACCTGTATGTGCAGTACATTACCTGTGTGTGACGTACATTACCTTATGTTACGTGCATTACCTGTATGTGATGTGTATTACTTGTATGTGCATTACCTATATGTGACGTATTTTACCTGTGTGTGACGTACATTACCTAATGTGACGTGCATTACCTTATCTTACGTACATAACCTGTGTTTGACGTACAACACCTTTGTGTGACGTACATAACCTGTATGTGACGCACATTACCTTATGTGACGTATATTACCTTATGTGACGTACATTACCTGTGTGTGACGTACATTACCTGTATGTGACGGGTATTACCTGTATGTGACTTACATTACCTTTATGTGACGTGCATTACCTGTGTGTGACGTATATTACCTTATGTGACGTACATTACCTGTGTGTGGTGACGTACATTAACTGTATGTGACGTACATTACCTTTGTATATTACGTATCAGTTAGCAGGTTGTCACACCTGTGCGAAGGATACAGCAGTTACTTGTGATTTAGAGATAGTACAGGTAGGCCTGTGGTTACTCACCAGTATGTACCTAATCCTCCTACATGTCAGTCAGCAGAAGGATGTGAACTACACGTACATATTGCAAAGACATTAATTGTTGAGTTGTACAAACCCGAACCTTATCTAACAATATCTTACTGGCGAGTGTAGAAACTGAATTCCAGCTTAGACAATGGTACTATTTACTGGTTGGTTGATTGGTTGGTTGATTGGTTGGTTAGTTGAATGGTTTATAGTCTACACTTCACTGACGAAGTCTGTGTTCGGTCGACTTGAGGGGGCAAGTTGGCGCTTACCGGGCCCTCTGAAATTCAAAACTCCTTCCCATCCAGGTCACGCTCTAAGGACAGCTCCTTAGATGCGGACAGGCTGTCGCAACTTCGAGAGTATATTCAGGGTACACATACTTTTCCGGGTATATATTTAGGTTACACATGCTGTTCCGGGTGTATATTCAGGGTACACATGCTGTTCCGAGTGTATATAGCCGACTATGGTGTTCCGAGTGTATATCGCCGACTATTGTGTTCCGAGTGGATATAGCCGACTATTGTGTGCCGAGTGTATATAGCCGACCATGGTTTCCCGAGTGTATATGGCCGACTATGGTGTTCCGAGTGTGTATAGCCGATTATTGTGTTCCGCGTGTAGATAGCCGACTATGGTGTTCCGATTTTATATAGCCGACTATTTTGTTCCGAGTGTATAAAGCCGACTATGGTGTTCCGAGTGTGTATAGCCGATTATTGTGTTCCGCGTGTAGATAGCCGACTATGGTGTTCCGATTTTATATAGCCGACTATTTTGTTCCGAGTGTATATAGCCGGCTATTGTGTTCCGAGTGTATAGAGCCGACTATGGTGTTCCGCGTGTATATAGCCGACTATTTTTTTCCGAGTGTATATAGCCGACCATGGTGTCCCGAGTGTATATAGCCGACAATTGTGTTCCGAGTGTATAAAGCCGACCATGGTTTCCCGAGTGTATATAGCCGACTCTTGTGTTCCGAGTGTATATAGACGGAGTCCGGCAAACGGCAGCTGTGAATGGTATAGCACCTAATCGAAAGCCGCAGAGTTGCGTATTTTTTAACCGGAAATGAAGTATGTGAAAGTGAAAGGAGTGTATATTCAGGGGACACATGGTGTTCCGAGTGTATATCGCCGACTATTGTGTTCCGAGTGGATATAGCCGATTATTGTGTTCTGAGTGTATATAGCCGACTAGGGTGTTCCGAGTGTATATTCATGGGACACATACTGTTCCGGGGGTATATTCAGGGGACACATGGTGTTCCGAGTGTATAGAGCCGACTATGGTGTTCCGAGAGTATATAGCCGACTATTGTTTTCCGAGTGTATATAGCCGCCTATTGTGTTCCGAGTGTATATAGACGGAGTCCGGCAAACGGCAGCTGTGAATGGTATAGAGACACATGCTGTTCCGAGTGGATATTCAGGGTACGCATGCTGATCCGGATGTATATTTAGGGGACACATGTTGTTCCGGGTGTATATTCAGGATACACATGCTGTTCCGAGTATATATTCAGGGGACACATGGTGTTCCGAGTGTATATCGCCGACTATTGTGTTCCGAGTTTATATATCCTACTATGGTGTTCCGAGTGTATATCGCCGACTATTGTGTTCCGAGTTTATATATCCTACTATGGTGTTCCGAGTGTAGATAGCCGACTATTGTGTTCCGAGTTTATATATCCTACTATGGTGTTCCGAGTGTATATAGCCGTCCATGGTTTCCCGAGTGTATATAGCCGATTATTGTGTTCCGAGTGTATAGAGCCGACTATGGTGTTCCGCGTGTATATAGCCGACTATTTTTTTCCGAGTGTATATAGCCGATTATTGTGTTCCGAGTGTATAGAGCCGACTATGGTGTTCCGCGTGTATATAGCCGACTATTTTTTTCCGAGTGTATATAGCCGTCCATGGTTTCCCGAGTGTATATGGCCGACTATGGTGTTCCGAGTGTATATCGCCGACTATTGTGTTCCGAGTTTATATATCCTACTATGGTGTTCCGAGTGTATATCGCCGACTATTGTGTTCCGAGTGGATATAGCCGATTATTGTGTGCCGTGTGTATATAGCCGACTATGGGGTTCCGAGTGTATATAGCCGATTGTTGTGTTCCGCGTGTATATAGCCGCTTATTGTTTTCCGAGCGTATATAGCCGACTATGGTGTTCCGCGTGTATATAGCCGACTATTTTTTTCCGAGTGTATATAGCCGGCTATTGTGTTCCGAGTGTATAGAGCCGACTATGGTGTTCCGAGAGTATATAGCCGACTATTGTTTTCCGAGTGTATATAGCCGTCCATGGTTTCCCGAGTGTATATAGCCGACAATTGTGTTCCGAGTGTATAGAGCCGACTATGGTGTTCCGAGAGTATATAGCCGACTATTGTTTTCCGAGTGTATATAGCCGTCCATGGTTTCCCGAGTGTATATGGCCGACTATGGTGTTCCGATTTTATATAGCCGACTATTTTGTTCCGAGTGTATAAAGCCGACCATGGTTTCCCGAGTGTATATGGCCGACTATGGTGTTCCGATTTTATATAGCCGACTATTTTGTTCCGAGTGTATAAAGCCGACTATGGTGTTCCGATTTTATATAGCCGACTATTTTGTTCCGAGTGTATATAGCCGACTCTTGTGTTCCGAGTGTATATAGCCGTCCATGGTTTCCCGAGTGTATATAGCCGACAATTGTGTTCCGAGTGTATATATCCGACCATGGTTTCCCGAGTGTATATGGCCGACTATGGTGTTCCGAGAGTATATAGCCGACTATTGTTTTCCGAGTGTATATAGCCGTCCATGGTTTCCCGAGTGTATATGGCCGACTATGGTGTTCCGATTTTATATAGCCGACTATTTTGTTCCGAGTGTATAAAGCCGACCATGGTTTCCCGAGTGTATATGGCCGACTATGGTGTTCCGAGAGTATATAGCCGACTATTGTGTGCCGAGTGTATATAGCCGACCATGGTTTCCAGAGTGTATATAGCCGACTATTTTTTTCCGAGTGTATATAGCCGGCTATTGTGTTCCGAGTGTATATAGCCGTCCATGGTTTCCCGAGTGTATATGGC